TCTCTCTTCTCTCTCTCTCTCTCCTCTCTCGCTCTTCTCTCTCTCCCTCTTCTCTCTCGCTCTCTTCTCTATCGCTCTTCTGCCTCTCTCCGCTCTCTCTCTCTCTCTCTGCGCAAGTTACTGTGTGCAGAGTTTCGGTATCGTTCATGACTTTGATGCCTAAGATCCCGTGGCAGGAGGAGGCGCTGAAAGCGCGGACCCACGCGGCCCTTCTCCGGCTCAACTGCGGTTGGCGATCCACCTACGGCTCGATGTGTCGGAGTCTGAGCTTGAGCCTTGAGGTGGTGTGCGTGTGTATTGAGTACAATGCCACGGGCAGTGCTTGAGACAGATGGATGCTGCCAGGCGATGACATCCCGAAGCTGGCAAAGGACCCTGGGTCCTTTGTTTTTGTTTCGCCGATTTTAGCCAAAGAGGAGAAAAGGTGCCTGCAATTCGAGCAGAAAGCGATCCGTGCTTTACTTGCTTCCTGTCAGCCAGGAGCCAATCGCGGCGCGCCCCGAGGAGAGCGGGGAGCGGCAGCCGCTGGCCAGCCTTGGATCACATTGGAATTCCAAGGTTTTTTTTAAAACCCACACGGCTTGCGGACCCACGGCCGATTCACCGACGTCATGACTTGCTCATTTTATGTCGGGAGCTATCAAACTTTCATCGAGTTTGCACGAGATCCTGTGTTCTGCCGCCTCACACTCGTTGATGCCCCGAGGCTGCCGTGGACAAAGATGGATTCTGAGTACAGGCAGCTTTGTCATGCCTGTCGCCGTGGAACTTTGAGCTGGCTTCAGCTTGCATCTGTGGTCAACAATGCAGGACAAGGTTCGTGGACCACAACTCACCTCCGCCTGCCCGCCCAGTGCCGAAGAAGTTGTGGCCTGGCGGAGCGCAGGCTCAGTACATGTTGCTTGGCTTTGTGCTTCAGAAGCGAGTGCAGCTCACGTGCTAAGGTATGTTCCTACACCGGCCGAGCTTCAGCGGGACAGCCACAACAGTTGCCAGCATCTATTTTTGCGGTGGCGATGCAGCCAAGCCGTCCCACTCAAATCATAATCGCCAGCAGGAGCATGCGGCCAAGGAGAAGCATTTGAAGCTTATCGAGGAGGTTGGATCGAAACGGACGGCAAGAGTGGCACGACCTCGTTCAGTAACCTTCCAGGCACGTGCCAAAGAACGACGCCGCTTGGAGCCTGTGCACGAATTACTGGCCATTGCATTGCTCTCTGCGCCGTGCTGTGATTCTTCAAAAGAACATGGATGAACCAAGCCGGTCTCTTACGCAAGTGCCATCGCAATGAGAAATGTCGGAAGGATGGGCAGCGGTCCGAGCTGAACACCGGCCCGCTCACTGCTCCCTTGAAGTGCAGGCCTCAGGCCGTAAAGGGCCCTGCGGCCTGGTACATCCTTGCGCCGCTACGTAGAAGACTCCAGTCTGCAGCGGCTGAGGCCACCCGGATCGGAGGCCACTCGGCGAAGGGACGGCTCTGCTTGAGCTCGCCCGCATGGCGGTCAGGTCCACTACAACTACGTCGGTGGGCCGCCGCCCTCACTTTGGAGGCAGGCCCATGACTTGTCGGTGACGGTTTTGGGCATGCAGCGTGCTGTCTAGTTTGTACACGCTCCTTGTGCCCACCGTGTCGGATTTCTTCATTCTTCCACCTGAGGAGCGATTACCGCGGCAACCTCCAAGCATATGCCGGGCTCCCAGAGGGACTCTGCATCTTGTCGTGCAGTTACTCAGTTGCTGACTTTGCAGCGGACAGGTACATACTGCCACCGCGAACGCCAGGATGGCCCAGCCTACGCCGCTGGCAACCGGGCCATGTTTTGGAGGGGCCGTGGCCGCAACCGGGCTGAGCTAAGCACGAAAGGACAGATTAGACAGGTCAGATGTATGGGGAAATCTGCCAGGCCGTGGTTTCTTCACCCATCTCCCTCTTTCCTGGCGTGATCGGCCATCCAGATGCCTGGTTGCAAGTGGAAATGCCAAATCGGAGAAGAGACTTATTTCGGATTGGCTGTGATCGGCTCGAATTGCTCCACAGCTCCCCGTCCTATGTGCTCGAGAGTTTGCCAGGACATGTGATCTTGATTGATGCCGTGTCGTTTGCACGGTGCTGCCGCCATTGCACGTCCATTCCTAAGTGACGGATCGGTTCAGTTGCCATTGTGGATCATCGTCACTGCTATGGTCGTCATCATCATGATCATGATCATCATCATCATCGTGACCATCACCATCAACATAATCGTCATCACCATCACCATGCCTATCACCATCACCGTCATCATCATCATCATCATCATCCCGACATTCACCATCATCATCATCCTCGTCATCATTGTGACCATCACCATGAACATAATAGTCATCACCATCACCATGCCTATCCCCTTTAGCGTCATCCTCATCATCGTCATCATCATCATCATCATCATCATCATCATCGTGACCATCACCATCAACATAATCGTCATCACCATCACCATGCCTATCACCATCACCGTCATCATCATCATCATCATCATCATCATCATCATCATCATCATCGTGACCATCACCATCAACATAATCGTCATCACCATCACCATGCCTATCCCCTTTACCGTCATCCTCATCATCGTCATCATCATCATCATCATCATCACCATCATCATCATCATCATCAGCATCAGCATCAGCATCAGCATCAGCATCAGCATCAGCATCAGCATCAGCATGCATCATGATCAGCATCAGCATCGCATGTAGTGACACCATGTGACACCAGCAGCAATGGGAGGTCACGGGGCCGAGACAATGAGATGCATTGAGTTGTTTGCAAAGCAAACATCAGCCCTGGTCTGGGCAGCTGCATGCACGCGATGGCAATGCTGTTGTTTCGTAGATGGTTCGGCGGATGGCCATTCATCTTGGTTTGTGTTCCTGTATGCCTGTCCAGCATCGGGCCTGTGGCTCCGTGTCACCTTCTCGGCTGAACGCAGAGCAAGGAGTGTTCGGTCAAAGAAAAGATGCATCTCATCCCTCTCATGTCTCCTGTGCAGCGCTCTTAATGGTGTGACTCAACGGGTCTGCAGCCCTGCACCACGCAAGTTGAGAAGAGATTCCTACACATGTCTGCCGAGGTTGGTAGGCACCGAAATTTGCCCGACGTCGCAAGAATTGCTTCCTGTTTCCTACAGTGGAAATCGCAGCATGAAGCAGGCCGGTCGGATCCTCCAGCAGCTGAGTCTGGCATGGCGTTCATTGCCTGAGAAAAAGCTCCTTGGCGCTGGGGCGTGATTCAGGCAGGGAGGTCCTGGGGGCAGGCGCAGAAGATGCTCCGAGGTTCGTGAAGGCAGCGAATGCCGTGGCAAAGCTGGACCTGGGAAAGGAGCGCCTGGGCCCGGAGTTTAGATTAAAGCAGCTGGCTCGAACAGACCATGCAAGTTAGGCGAGAGCCGTGCCAAGGCTTTGGGCAAAGCCGCTGAAAGTGGCTTTGGAAGCGTGGCTGCCACGGATGGACGGCCGACATCTGGCCAACCTCAAAGCGATTGCCGTCATGGAGCTTTTGGATGAGCCGCAGGCGATGCACGCATACCTCGAGCAGTGTGAGAGCCTGCGCAACGACATCTGGTACTCCCGACACCTGCAAGTGGTTGAGGCCCATGTCCACCTGCTGTACCCTGAGTTGTGGAACTCCCTGGACGAGCGAATCCGCCTCTTTCTGCAGACTGTCCGGACTGCCGCAGAGGAGAGCCGTCAGACGCAGGCGCAAGTCGTCCAGGAAAGCTCGGCCTCAGAGAACTCAGAGGACGAGTCAGACGAAGAGGTCCAGGCGGTGCTAGCTCCGACCTTCGACAAGCAGCGCTTCAGTTCCGCCTTGCACGCGGACATCAGCCGCATGCTTACGGAGCTGGGCTTGGAGCACAGCAACAAGATCTCAGCGGGGCCGGTGCTACTGGACATCGTGCGCCTGGTCGGCGAGTCAGAAATGCTTCAAAGTGCGACTTCAGGTGTGTGTTGCTGCTCTTGATGCACTCCTTATACGCCTTACACTCCGACCGTCCTTGCATTTCCACTTGCAGATCCCAGTCGAAGAGAAGGTTTGTGTCTCCTCTTTCTCTCTCTCTCTCTCTCCCTCTTTTTTTGCCGCTCGCTCTCTCTCTCTCTCTCTTTTTGGCTTCCTCTGCCAGTTCGAAAAAAGGCACCTGCCAAGCATGGTGGTCGTGGAGGCAGCGGCGCCCTGGCAGTACTATCTGCGCTCCCCACAGATCACCGCACTCGCGCGGCGCCGTCAGGAGGGGTCAGGGCTTTGCACGCTGGGCTGGGGTTGTGCTCAGGCTTCAACCACTGGCATCGTAGTTTCTGTGTTGAGACGAGGAAGATCGTGGCTTGTCTGGCTTGAACCCGCAATTTCTCAGGAGATGATCTCAGCAATGGGGTTCAACCTACAGGTCATCCCGCGGCTCGACAGATCTGGACACCTCTGCATCACTCGCAACTTTCATACTCTGCCGGCGAAAACATCACCTGTTGCCCGCACATGGTGAACGGCCAGTCGAAAGCAGGCTTTTGAAGTATCTCCTACAATCTTTGAGCCCATCGTATCTAAAGGCTGAGCCCCCAAGCTCGCGACCATTCGCGACCAGAAAAGTCCTTTCCATCCCAGCAGATGCACTTCCGTTCACGTGCATAGAGTTGTTTGCCTTTGTCTGTTGGAGCCGACTGTGTGACAGCCCAGGTATTTTCGCTGGGACACCCTCAAGGACGATTCTGCAAAAGCGGAACTTCTGAAGAAGCAGTTGCCCAAGGAGGCTCAAGCTGCAGATCGTGCGCAATTTCATGGCTGCCAGTACATGCCTGGCCCCACCACCAAGTGGATGCAGGTCACCAGCTGCATGGCCTCACATGAAGACGCTGAAGGCACGTATACAAACAGAGCTTGCTGTAGCAGTCTTTGGCTCGTGCTTGCCATCCTGAGGCGCCCAGGCGGATCAGGGACAAAGCTCGCACTCCCGCCCTTCGATTTGAGCTCTTCGCGCAAAAAATGACAATGGAGAAGGGCTGTGCATTTGCAACCTGCGGAGGTAGTACAGTAGCCAGAGCTGCTCCCTTTTACAGCCGCATGTTTCTCTGCTTGAGCATGCACATCGTCCCGCCTTCATCGATTTCTAAGGCCCGAACTCTTTCATCTAAGCTGGCCATTTCCGCAGTTTGCCTCGATTCTGACGTGTCCCCAGTCCAGATGCGACCACACCCTAAACCCAACCAGACCACAAAAGGAAGCACTGCAAAGTCGCTGTTCAGCTAAGCAACTTACATAGAGGCCAGCGGAAGTCCGTAGAATCCTTCACTCGCAAGCCATCGCGGCTTGCCCCAATGTCCGTTGCATCGAGGATGCATCGCTTCAAGGTGCGAGAGTGTTCCTTCCAAAAGGGGAGCAGACTCAGAGCCGCCCGACGGGAGGCTCTGCAAGATGTCTTGGCAGCCTTGGCGCGCGTCCCAGTTGCCTCGAATGCCGCCTGCGAACCCGGACGCTTCCCGACACTTCCGTCTTTGACACTCGGGACATTTGTGTCAAAGCAAGCAAGCTTCCGAGTTATAGATCCTGAGCGATAGTGGCCTGGGGTCTGCCTCGGTGCGATTGAGGCCATTTGGTACGGTCATAAACGGTCTTGGTGCATGAAGCAACACGGACAGAAAACGTGTCCTCGAAGCAGTGCCCTCCAGTTTGCGCGTTGTGCCAACACTTTTATCTTAAGTTTACGATTTTGTTATGCTTGAGGGTTTCGTCCAGCTTATGGTTTCGATATGGCTTTGAATCTAGTTTTGTTAGGGTTTTCGACTATGGTTTTGGTTTTCGCTACGCGTGAGAGCACGGCTCGGAAAGCAGCTCGGCTGCAAGTCCGAACGCCATATCCAAATCAAAGCAAACACATATCAAACCAGTCCTGGAGGAGGCTTGAGTCGCATCGAAATCGTCTCAGAATCGCATGAAAACCGTATCGAAGCCAAAATCGTCTCAGAATCATATCTAGACCATATCCCAATCGTAAACCATAACAAAATCATAAGAAAATCGTAACCGGAAGGATTCCTGAAATCATATCAAAGCGTATCGAAATCGTGAAAATGAATATTCCTGGAAATGGCTGCTTCCCAGGACTCTGGGCGTCACAACTCGAGAGTGCTTAGAGCACATAGCAGCACACAACACACCAGGCTCATGCCTTCCGGCCTGTCCGAAATCCTCCTGTGTTGCCTGCGTTGGAAAATTGCAGATCGCATTTTCTGACCTGCTGTAGAGAACTTGCATCGACAACGGTCACTGCATCTCTGCATAGGCTGCACTTGCAAGGTCGTGGACGAAGACGATGTTGCTGGCGCCGTCCAGGAAAGGGGGGGGCTTCTGCATCAGTTGCAGGGCTTGTGATTGCCGCCGTCATCCCACAGGACGTGCCGCGCGACTTGTCACGGGAAGCTATGGAGCCACAGGCGTGGCTCCGCGGTTCATGAGCTTTACATGCAAAGCCTTGGTACGTGGCAAGATGCTGTCTCTCCTTCTCCCGTGACCGGCAGGTTCCCCGTCTGGTCGGCGCTCGGCAAGTGATGGCTTCGGAGGCAGTCGCGCTTGCAATTGAGGATTGGTATGATACAACACTTGAGAAATCTTGAGAATGTTCTTCCGACCAAAGTTCTGAGTGGAAGAGCGCCGTGCTGACAGGTCGCGCTTGCGAGTCTGCTAGCCCGTCGCGCTTGGGAAGGGATCTCCGCCTTTGCTTCCATTGCTTCCAGGGTTTGGGTTTAGCCAAGTGTGTCGCGGCCTTGCAGAGAGTGCATGAGGTCGTTCAGTGCATGGAAAGCTTACGGCAAAAGGTCTCCAGACAGCCTCGGATTTAACATGAGGTATTTGGTGACTTTGGCACGGCATGGCACAGGTCCACGCTACTTCCCGACTCCGTGATTCAGCAGGCTGCTGACTCTGACTGCAGGTCTATGGTCCCTCCTCAACATTATCAAAGTTACCATCCTGAGGTTTGTCTGCATGCGCCTACTGTACCCCTCGAAGTTACCATGCTTCATGAGCTCCCTGCACCGATACCTGCGGGGTCTTGCTGCAAGAGTACGTGGAGGTTCATGGGTTATAAGTAGGGCTATAAGTAGGGTAGCTATACTTATAACTTATAACCCATATTAGGGGACTTATAACCCCCACTTATAACTACCCATGAACCTCCAAGTAGGCTACATTCTGCTCAGGAGTCTCGCTCTCGCATAGGATCTCCCATGGAGCTTTCCGGGGGTTGACCGGGCCTGGGCCTAGGACCAACAAACAAAGTGCTCCTGAAGAAGTGGGGGTTTCCGAAAATAAGGGGTGCCGTATGTTGGGGTACTTATAATAAGGATCCTACTATTTGGGGTACTATATTAGGGTCCCCTATTTTCGGAAACCCCCAAGTCTCACCGAGAGGCGCTGGCCCTGGTGGACTCCAAGAGCTGCTTTGGCTGCATGTAGTGAAGGTATAGTGATCCAGTGCGCGGGACTCGCGCGCTCTCTCTCTCTCTCCCTCTCCCTGCTCGGGCTTAAGCGGCTTAGGGACTTCAGATCCCTGCGAGGCATCCACTTGGTGACCAGCCAGATGGGTCGGAAGGCCTACGAGGCGGGGTTCAGAAAAGCGAAGTCTCGAAGGCGAGGGCCAAACAAAGCCAAGAGTCGGCTTCGCCAGGTACGTGGCCAGAAGGCCTCGCACTTCGTCCTGGCAAGGGGCCTCTACTGCTCTTGCCCGATGCCCGAGGGGCTGGTTTGGGCGAAGCGGGGCCCAGAAGCACAACCTGCAACACAGGGATTGCCCCAAGCCTTCGTTTCGTCATCATATTTCTGCCGTTTGATGAATGGATGCAAATGGATGCAATGTGTGCAAATCCATTTAAGTTGAATCTGCACAGCCCTTGTTGCTCAAGCGGCCTGCGCCCATCGCCATCGAATCACCACATATGCTGAATCAAAAATGCTTTAGAGCACCTTTGGTCATTTGCAAGATACTTGCTAACATGTGTCAGACTCGACACATGCATGGCAGTACCACGCCGTAGCACAGCTCATGCTGTCCGGTCCCACGTATACTCGCGCGACGGCGTTTGCCACGCACGAGTGGGCGAAGCCGCCTTTCGTGACGTGGGGAGATGTTTTTGCTGCGCAGGCTTGGGGGAGCGCTGTGAGTACTCGTATTCCAGACTTGCTCGAGAGTTTCGCGTCGGGAGCTCCACGAGGTGGTTAGTCCAGAGCCGCGGGCAATTGCTGTTCTTCCCAGGCGGGTCTTGAAATCCATTACAGCAGGGTGCTCATGCCTGATTAGAGTGGGTCCTCTGCTTCTCATGCCTTGCAGGATCTTCCGCCTCACTAGCGACACCGCCAAGAGCTCAAGCGAGTCGCGTGGTTGCTGCTGCATGGTCTCAGCAGCATGCGTCTGGGCTGCAGGGCATCACAGGCGGTTGAGGTGAAGTAACGAGAGCATCATAGACAACGCAGCACTTGGATAAGAGGCAACGCTACTCGTAGCAGACGTGAAGGGCCGTTGGTTTCCTTCAGTGCCCTCTCTGTGCCAAGGCTTGGTGCTCTTCTCCAAGCTGGTTCTCAGACACCGAGCCCGGCTACCTGCGCTCCCTCAGAGCAGATCCCGAGCTGGCATCAGATCTCCGAGAGCTCCGAAGGCCCCGAAGGCCCAGGTGAAGAAGAGAGCGGCTCCCAAAGGCCCCAAAGTGGCCTCCAGACGGGCGCAAGGTGCAAAGACGCCTCCATTCCTGCCGCCCCTGGATTCGACGATTTGGAAGCCGGTGCCTGTTGCAAGGGAGGAAGCCGACCGGGCGCTTTTGGTCGGCAGTGGGCCCACAGATTTCTCCAAAGTTGCAGAGCAAGTGTGGGAGGGCCAGAGCGTGCTCTTCACTGGCCGCTGGACCGATGTTCTAGATGTGAGGAAGGCACTGAACGCCCTTGCCACGGAGCGCCTGTGCCATCTCGAGGACACGGCCGAAGCGAACCGTGAGCGGAGGCGGCTGCTTCGCAACTGCGCTCGGCGGCTCTTCGCAGAGGTTGTCGTGTCTACTGGCGAATTGAAGCCCGTGGGGGGACCACCACTGGGATACGTGCCTTTGCTCTATGCCGGGTCTTCACGACTCCATTTTCGTGCTAACGACATCACTGCGCTGAATGTGGCCTGGCAGTTTTTTGTAAACGGCTTGGACTACAGCTTCCTGCGGAACAAGCTTCATCCTTTCTTCGGCGTCTACTTCACTCCATCTCCCACGGAGACTTAGCTTCTCAAATCACCCAGGAAGAGCTCGAGTCCCGACAGAGTCGCAGTAGATCGCAGCACCATCGATGCGTCAAAGCTGAGGAGCACTTCCAGCTGCTACGCGACTGGTTGGGACAGCTGAAGCCCGGCGGTTCCTGGCGCGTCCTGGACCTTGGAACAGGATGTGGCGTCCGGAGCTCAGTACCCTATCCAGATTTTGGTCTGACATGGCTGCAAGTTTCCAAGTTCCAGGTGATCACCTTCATACTGCGCAGTATGTTCCCAGACTTGGAGATAATTGCCTCGGACCTTTGTCCGAATGCCGTCTTCTCCGTGAAGGCAGAGTTGCGGCGATGGGATGTGCAGCGAGTCCGGGTGGTACAGAGTGACCTCTTCTCGAGGCTGCAAGAGGAGGGCCCCTTTGACTTGGTCGTCTTCAACCCTCCCTGGGTACCAAGAGCACCCGAGATTCGGCCCGACGGGGCAGGGGACGTGGTCTTTGGCAATGACTACCCCGCTGACCTCTTCGACCGCCTCTTCAGCGAAGTGCCTGCAGCACTGCAGCCCGGCGGCCATCTAGCCACTGAGCTGCACGGGGTAGGATGGCATCAGGGCTCGAAGATCCTGCGCGTCGATGCATGACTTGGAGAGGCCATCCTCTTCTCGAACTACGCGCTCTCCCGCGGCCTCGTGGAGGAGAGCCCCCTGACAGTTTGGGAGAAGAGAGCCGGGGAGCAGCTCCAGCTCCAAGAGGTCCACAAAAGGATCGTTTTAGCGAGGCAGCGGAGCCGCTTTCGCCAGACGCGCCGGGACAAGGCCTGGGCCCTCCGGGAGGACGACCAGGAGCACCGCGTGGAGCTCTGGCACTTTCAAAAAAAGGAGGAAAAGGAGAATGGGTAGTTGTTAGTGGGATTATAAGTCCCCCCAATATGGGTTATAAGTATAGTTACCCTACTTATAACCCCTTTTATAGAGAGATCGGAGCTCCGCTGTCCGCTGTCCGCTGCCCGCTGCGGTTCTTGGCCGCTGCATCGACCCCGCTCAGGTCCATACTTCGGGCGACGAGTGATCGAGGCCCTACGACTTTGGGGGATTGCAGCCTGCCTCTCTCTCTCTCTCTCTCTCTCCAGTTCGTGAGTGTGTGTGCGTGTGTGTGTGTGTGCCGGCATCTCTCGTGAGAAGTGCTCAAGTGGAGAGCACGCTCCATGGATCATCATGTCCGGCGATGCTCCACTGAGCTCGCAATGAAAGACGTGTTTTCATCGCATCCCGTGAACAATCCTTTCTTCACCAACGGTAGGCCATTGGAAGAGACGGTGGATGAGTTTAGGAAGAACCCTCACAAGGTTCTCCCAACGATGAAGTTTGTAGCATTTGATGGCAACATTTGGTCATGCTGTAACAGAAGGTTGGAATGCTACCGCAAAGCAGGGCTTTAGCGAGCTCCGTGAAGGCGTGCATTTCGAACTGTACAGACTTTGTTCAGGGCTCAACAACGAGGATCTTCTTTGCGAGTGCAGAAGATTTTGAGACTTTGTGACATCTTGCAGTCTTTGATAGGTGTCATTCAGTCGCCGCGACATGACATGTATGTACAACATTGCTGGGACGTGCATGGTGTATATTTCAGTTCGAAATGCACCTGCTGCATCAAGACGTTCGGAACCGTTTCCTCGCAGATGGTTCATGAATGCGAAGTTGTAGCAACGACGCTGAGTGAACAATTCACGTTTCGCACCTTGTGCAAGAGGGAGTTTCCGAGTAATTTGCAAGTACGTTCGCCACTGCAAACATATGGACGGCGTTTCCGTTTCTGCTGGCAGACTCATTATTCTGCAAGTTGTGCCCGTTACAGTTGCTCTGGAATTATGTATGCCCCACTTCGAACCACTGAACGAGGCCGGGGAGCTTTGCTGCAAGCATTGGCTGGCAGTCCAAGTGGCGCAGTCGCCTTCTCAGCAAGCTTGCCTTTGGCAGGGGCTGTTTCAGTTCCGAAGGTTCTGCCGGAAGCTCCAAAGGAAATCGCTGTGGCAGTGTAGTGTTTTTGGTATTTTATGTCCGTTCGCAATTCGAATTCGAAAAGTAGCAGCGTATGAGATCAGCCATGCCGATGCCTCTCAGGCGCTGCGGCACCGGGATCGGCTCCTCCGAATGCCTGCAGGAAGATGAGCAGGAAGCCAAGTTCCAACCTGGAATGTATCTCGAGGGCTTCACAAACACCGAGGGTAAGATTAAGTGATTAAGCATTGCTTCGGAGGCAACCATGTTTTTGCATGCGGGATGCTGGAGGTTTTGCTGCTTGTTGGCGACCTATGCGGTGAGGTTCTTGGACTGGTCTCGGCAGCGCATGCTGGGATGCCAGCCTGCATGAGTGCAGGCATCTCTCTCGATTGTCTCACTTTCAGTCACAATATCCATGCTAGCTGCTCCTTCTTGGTATCGTTATAGTTTGTCAGGCTGTGTTCCTGCTTCCATCGGCTTCTTGTGCTCTCAACGGTGACTTAGGATGGAATTGCTCTCACAGGCGCTTAGAGACCGAGGCAGCGGATATACTGCGGCCGACAAAAGCAGCCAGAGGGGGGGGGGTACAGACCCAGTCAGCAATGCTTTTCAGGTGTAGTGCCCGTGAGAAGCAAACCTGCACCCACTTACCGGCGAATTACTGGGCAGGGATAGTACCAGTTATTCGAGCCTCCGTCTATGCAACTTTAGCATTTCGAGCTTGGGACGCGTTGCTTGGGTTTTGGGGTTTCGAGGTCGGAGCTCAAGGCAAAGGCCAAAAACAGTGCAGGCCCTTCAGCGCTCAGGCTCCAATCTGGAGCCAGGTCTACACTGTAAAGCTGAGAGCCCTAGCCGCGACGAACTTTTAGACAAGAAGAGTTCAATGCCAGCTGCAAGCTTGTTCCAGAGGTGGAGCGGCAACACTTCGCATGCTAATTTTGGCTGCGGCTCAAGCTCGGGTTCGAATGTAGCCTAGCGCTGCTTCTTATTCTTGGCTTGCTTTCACGACCACTCAAATTCAGCGTTGAATTCCGATGT